TTCTGGGCCTCTCCTGGAAACTGAGTCCCAGACCCAGAGGCTCCGCCATGGTGTGTGGACAGCCAACGCTGGTGCAGAATTCGCTGTCACTGCTGCTGTAACCCTTCCCCATTTAGCTGGGCTCCGTAGGTCAGCGCGGGAGGCTTGTTGACAGAAGGGAATGACGATGATGCAGGAGGCCCTCAGCATATTGCTTAGTCACAGGTGTGTTATTCAGTCCATAAAAGCCTTCGGAGGACCCTGCATGTGCCAGGCACTGAGCTACGTGTCTCACTCTGTGTGAAAACTCTCACGTAATGTAGCGAAGATAGATGTTAGGTAATTAGGCCAAGAATTCGGTAGGACTGTGAGAGGGCTGCCAAAGAAACGCTCTCGCGCCTGGCCTGCATGGCTCAGCAGAGCATCGACCCACGAAGCCAGTCCGATTCCCGGTCAGGGCATGCATATGCCTGGTTGCGATCCCCAGTAGGGGGCGTGTGGGAGGCAGCTGATCAATGATTCTCTCTCATCGCGGACACTTCTATCTCTCTCTCCCTCTCCCTTCCTCTCGCTGAAATCAATTTAAAAACACACACATATTTTTGCCCTAGCTGGTTTTGCTCAGTGGTTAGAGTGTAGGCCTGGGGATTGAAGGGTCACGGGTTCAATTCCTATCAAAGGCATGAACCTCAGTTGCAGGCCCAATCTTTGGTCGGGGCCTGTGCGGAAGGTAACCAATTGATGTTCTCTCTGTGTGTCTCTCTCCCTCCCTTCCACTTTCTCTAAAAGTCAATGGGGAAAAAAATATCCTTGGGTGAAGATTAACAAAACAAAACAAAACAAAACAAAACAAGAGGGGTCCGGGAGGACCTCCTTGAACGGTGGCACTTATGCCAAGACCTGAGCAAGATGAGGACGGTGGGGTTGAGTCTCAGGAAGAAAGAGGATACTTAGGCAGGGCCGAGCAGCTCAGGCCCAGTAAATGGGAGGAACTGGCACAAAATGAGACTTGGGTCCTGCAGGCCTCGCTGGCAGTTCTCGTTCAGTTCTAAAGTCAGAGGCAGCCCCTGTCTAGAGGCATCCTTTACTGGTGTGATCCAGAGAAAACAGCAGGCGGGAGCACAGTTGGAGCAAGTAGAGAGGTTTCTGTGTCGTCGGTGAGGGTGGCAGAGACGATTCCTCCATCCTCAGGCCATAGGGCTGCAGAGCTCAACCACACGTAGGTGTGGGTGTGGGTGTGGGAGCCAAGGATGACTGGTGTTTCTGGGGGCAGCGGGAGCCCTTTGCCAAGGCAGGAAAAACGGGAGGAGGGATTGGGGTGCAGGGAGGTCAGTTCAGCCACGTGTGATGTGCCCGTGAGGCCCCAGATGTCCACCAGGCGCTGAGACCTGGGCAGTGCCCAGGGGTGATCCCCATGATGTTCCACGAAGCTGGACACCCACCTCATCCCAGTTCTGCACTCCGTCATTCCTGTGAACTCCAGCAAGCCACTGACTATCTCCAGCTTTGAGTTCCCAGATGCAGAAGGGGTGACAACCATCCCTAAGAGACAGCGGGATACAGAGAGGCCTGCAGTGTGAAGAGCAGGAGCGCTCACCAGCAGGCACTGGGAAAGCACAGGGAGTTAGTGGCAGAGCATCATGGTGAGTTCCACTGAGCCAACCCAGAGATGCCCACGGCCCATGTGCCTCTGGGAAAGAAAAAATGCCACCAACCAATCAAGCTGCCCACCAGGCCATGATGCCACCGGTCACTACGTTCATTCATTTCAGAGATGTGAGACGTGACAACTCTCAGATCGCGGATGGAGCACCTGCATTGAGCAGGGCTTTCCCCTGCCCCAGCACTCGGCCACAGGGACCAGCTTCCCCTGCTCCCCCTTCCCTATGGCTCCTGGGCCAGGTCTTCTCAGGCTGCCTTTGTGAGATTGACAGAGATGCATTGAGGGCTGTGGAGGAAGCCCCTGAAATGCTTTGGTCTGGACCACTGAGTCCCTGGTGTTGGCTGCTGTTCTCAGGTTAAAGGAGGTCTCAGGGAACCTGGTGCGGCCCTTGGCGAGCTAATCCTATAGGAGAGAGGCCGTCCCGGCTGACCACCCAAGAATTCAGGGAAAGTGAGCAATGTGGCAATGATGCCGGGGCCACAGACAGACAAGGTGTGATGCCAACCTTCTCAGACACAGCAGGAGGTATCAACGCAGAAACAGCACAGAACTGGGCTGCTCCTCTGTCTTCCCTGATCCTTGATGCTGGTCCAGGACCTTTTGTGGCATAGGGGGGTCTTTCCAGTTTCGAGGACACAGCCAGGCACCATCCCGGGTGGGCTGGCCCCTCCTGCCAGTTCTCAGTGAGCATCAGGCCTCTCAGCCTCGTTGGTGCTGGTGGGCGGCCGTGTCCCCGGGATTTCTGTGCAGTGGTTACTCCCAGGCTGTGCTGGCTCGCACCACAGCGTGGATTAGGACTGGGTTCAGATATTGTTCTGTTTTAGGAGCCTAATCCTCTGCTTTCGTTCTCCAAATCCCCAGTTGTCTGAGGTTGAGAAAGATCTCAGACTAATCCAAGGGTTCTCAAACTGGGGTTCCCTGGACAGCTGCATCGGCCACGTAGGGAACCTGTTTGAAATGCAAGTGCTTGGCCGAAACCGGTTTAGCTCAGTGGTAGAGCGTCGGTCTGCGGACTGAAAGGTCCCAGGTTCGATTCCGGTCAAGGGCATGTACATTGGTTGCGGGCACATCCCCAGTAGGAGGTGTGCAAGAGGCAGCTGGTCGATGTTTCTCTCTCATCGACGTTTCTAGCTCTCTATCTCTCTCCCTTCCTCTCTGTAAAATATCAATAAAATATATATATTTAAAAAAAAAAAAAAAATGCAAGTGCTTGGCCCCTCAGAGACAGACTGAGTCAGAATTGTGGTGGGGCCGCCCGGTCTCTGAGTTTTAAGGAGTCTTCTCAGGGCTCTGATGTTTTTGAGGATCTGAGACATCAGGCACGTTCCGTGTGAACTCACTGCACGGAGGTGAATTTGAGGTGGCCAGGGAGGCTACGGAGGCAGAGTTCCAAGGTTATGTTTGCCTTGAAATTCTCTGTACTGAGATCAATCCCCTGGCATTGGGTGATCCAGGGGCTCACCCAGTGGGCAAGGTCAGATCGCCCCGGGAGGACTCATTCCTGTCCGTGAGGTGGGCCATCGAAGGGGAGGGCTGCTGGTGCTCCCCCATAAGTGATCAGGACAGTTTTTGTTGTTTTTTTTAAAGGACGTTTGTGTGTGGCTTCTAAAAATAGAATTCTCTATTTTTGGAAAAAATGCATCAAAGAACAAAAAGGAAAATGTGTTAGTGTATTTCCTTCCCATCTGCTTTTTGTCTGTGTGTCTGCGCAATTCTTTAACAACACAGTTGGGCCAAAGTCCACATACAGCTTTGCAGCTTGTGCTTCTCGCTAACTTTACACCACAAGCACCTTCCTGCACCAGATTATTTTCCTGTAACTATGCACGTTATTTAAGCAGCCCGGTGTTAGACATGTTGGGTATTTCCAATTATTTTTGTATTCTAAAGAGCTGTGAAGACTTTCCCACGCACTACGTAATCTCCACTCTATGTCCTGATCATGTCCGTGGAGTCCTGGTGAGGGACCTGATCCTATGGGACCGTGTCATAGCTAGGCTATAATTCCGGGTGCAACTTGACAAAATACCGTTTGAAGAGGCTGGAGGTGGTTCTCCCCACCAGGAAGGACACTCTGGCTCTGACAGGGTAGTTGGCCGGTGCACCCCTGGGTGCCAGACCTCAAGAAAAGCTGCTCATTGGCCGAAACCGGTTTGGCTCAATGGATAGAGCGTCGGCTTGGGGACTGAAAGAAAAGCCGCTCAGCCCGGATGCTGAGAAACCTGGTCATAGGTCAAAGACCCTTTAAGTGAGAGATAGGCACAGACCTACACAGAGAATATAAGTTCTTTATGCTTGCTTTCCCTCCCATATATTCAAGTTATGATATTGTCCATTATAAACACATTAAATACCTTTCACATGCAAAGTCATTTTCTTTTTTCTTTTTTTCTTTTTTTTAATATATATTTTATTGATTTTTTACAGAGAGGAGCAGAGAAGGATAGAGAGCTAGAAATGTCGATGAGAGAGAAACATCGACCTGCTGCCTCTTGCACACTCCCCTACTGGGGATGTGTCCGCAACCCATGTACATGCCCTTGACCGGAATCGAACCTGGGACCTTTCAGTCCACAGGCCGACGCTCTACCACTGAGCCAAACCGGTTTCGGCGCAAAGTCATTTTCAAAATGGCTTTCACAAAACTAATGTCAACTAGCCAAAGCTGCTGGGAGGACATTAGGTCAGAAATGATTGCTCTTTCACAGAAAAGAGAACAGCAACCCAGGGAGACCCTGACATCTCTGCGCTGTGGGCAGAGATGCACTAGAATACAAGCCTCTTGCCTCCCACTCTTCCGTTCTTCCCCCTGGAACCCCTGGGCATTTAAAATGGGGTTGTGGTCCAGCTGGTGTGGCTCAACCGTTGAGTGTCAACCTATGAACCAGGAGGTCATGGTTTGATTCCCAGTCAGGGCTCAATCCCCAGTGTGGGGTGTGTAGGAGGCAGCCAATCAATAATTCTCTCTCATCATTGGTGTTTCTATCTCTCTCTCCCTCTCCATTCCTCTCTGAAATCAATAAAAATATATATATTTTTTAAAAATTTAATATATTTTATTGATTTTCCAGAGAGGAAGGAAGAGGGATAGAGAGCTAGAAACGTCGATGAGAGAGCAACATCGACCAGCTGCCTCCTGCACATCCCCTACCAGGGATGTGCCGGCAACCAAGGTACATGCCCTTGACCAGAATCGAACCTGGGGCCTTTCAGTCTGCAGACCGACACTCTATCCCCTGAGCCAAACCGGTTTCGGCTTAAAAAAATTTTTTTTAATAAAAAAAGAAATGTTCTATGGAGTCACCTTGGAAAAAAATGATAAATCTGTGATGATTGTGTGTGTGTGTTTCCCCTACAGCCCCAAGAGTGCCAAGATCTGCAGCAGTAACACACCTTTTGATGCCCAAGCCCTGAAGAAAAAGCTCAGCAAGGCGACCTGCGACCCCGCGGTCCACACCATCCTCAGAAGCCTGCTGCTCTACGTCACCCACCGTGGGGATGGGCCCCAGGCGCTGCCTCCCGCCAAGAGGGCAGAGCGCAGAGACAGCCAGGGGGGCTGGAAGCCGGAGCCCCAAGATGCCAGCCTGCGGCCCACGCGCTTCCAGCTCCTGCAGGCCAAGTTCATGGGCCCTGGCCGGGAGCCCTGGCTCAACAAGACCCGGGAGGTGGGCAGGCTGATCATCAAGGACAAGCAAGGCCCCGGCAGGAGCGTGGTGGCTGCCACCATCAACACGCTCCTGGAGAAGACCAGGGAGGGGGCCGGCAGTTCCGCGAGGGGCCAGGAGCCCCTCTGTGGCGGCGATAAGCCCCGGTGGGGCCTGCCCGCCGGGAGGAACACCGTGAAAAACATCCTGAAGAAGTTCCTGGCCGCGGAGGAGAAGGAGGCGGAGGAGAAGAGGCTCCGAGAGCAGCCTCCCGCGCAGCAGCAGCCCAGGGCTGCCCGGGGCCTCCTGCCCAAGATCGTGGGCAGAAAGGGCTCGGTCCTGGCCAAGCTGCGGGAGAGGTTTGAGCAGAGCGGGGGCCTCTGCTCGGAGGCCGGCGTGCTGCGGCTCCGCACGGAGGAGCGGAAGAAGAAGGACCTCCAGAGGAAGAAGACGCACCGGCCGGAGGCCCGCGTGCTCTGCACGGCCACCGTGGCCAGCTCCTGCATCCGGATGCCCCCCGCCCGCTTCCTGGCCTGCTCGGCCGAGCCCGTGCCAGCCTTCAGCATCGCCGCCATCGTCTGCGGCCCCCAGAGCTGGCTGTCCCACTGCGCCAAGATCAGACACTCGGAGCTGAGGCGCATGCCCCCAAAGGACACCGGCAGGCCCCCCGATGCGGGGGAGAGGGTGCCTGATGGGAACCAAACACCAGGAGAGGAACTGCTGGCTGGGAGGCCCCCGCAGGCCTTGGCAGGGCAGGCCATGGCTCCCAGCCTGCAAGCAGCCGCCCAGAGGGCAGGGCCTGAGAGCTTCCCTGAGCCCGTCCCCTCGCCCGCCTCCCCGAGCCGGGAAGCCCCTCCTGGCCTGGAACCCAAGCTCTCCTGGCTCACACCAGCCAGCCCAGGGCACGCCAGTGTGTCGGGAGGTGACAGGACGGAGGGCCTCCCAGCAGGGATCACCTCAGATGACACCCAGGGGGCAGAGGGGCCCAGGGCAGGCCCCCGCCCTGCACCCCCAGGGGAGATGGCCGAGCAGGCCCCGCAGGTGGACCTCATGGTTTGCAGCTCAGAGGACGAACTGACGGAAAGAGTCATTTCAGACTCAGAGCAAGACCCTCTCTTCGCCGTCCAGGAGACTTTTCCGGAACAGCCAGTCCCAGGGCAGATCCCGCCGCTCAGCGTGCCGGCCGCCCAGGCCGCCCGGCGCACCCAGTGGGCCTGCGAGCCTCCACAGATCACCGTGCGGCTCCCGGTGGTCCACGAAATGCCACTGCCTCCCACGGCGCTGCAGGCGGTAGCTGGTCACGCAGCCCCACCTTCTCTGTTGCCGGGAGGGGAGGGCGAGGTTGGACAGGCACCCGCGCTCCTTCCCACCACGACAGAGAGGAAAAGCCCCGAGGTGGCCCCGGTGGGAGCCAGCAAGCCTGCGGGGACGCACGGGGGACTCAGCACCCTTTCTTGGCGGGACTCCTGGGCACACCTGGCTCTCCCGCCCCTAAGGGGTGCTGCCAGCACTGACGGGGACACCCCAGAGGCAGCTCCAATGCTGAAACCTCCGACGAGTCCTGCCGACGGAAAGGAAGACTGTGGGAGTTCAAACCAACTCCAGGACCACACGTGTATTTCAGGACAGGAAGTTTCTGAGCTCAGGTACGAGAAGCATCTGCTGTCGGAATCAGGGGAAATGCCAGTCCGTGACGAGGGCAACCCAGCCCATCCCTCCACAGCCTCGGGGAATCGTCCCAGGGGCAACGGCCGCTCTGCCCTGTGTGGTCAGCACGTGCCACCTCCCCATGAGGGAGACTCAACAGACGCCCCAACTCTGCTGGCGGCACCGGCCGAGGGCTGGGCCAGGTCTGAGCCTGTGACCACCGTGGGTCAGAACGTCCTGCGTGAGCAGGCAGAACACGGGGGGCCACCACTGACTGAGTCCACTCAGCCCCTGCTGATGGCCGACGGGGGCGCCAGCCAGGACGTTGGTGAGAACAGGCCAACCTCCTTACATGAAGGCCCCACACCCAGGACCAAAGCCCCCGGGCGAGGGGCAGCCACAGGGGTCACTGAGAGTCACACAGCGCCAGCACCGAGGAACACTGTGGACCCCGAAATCAGGTCTCCTGAACCGGGGAGCCCTGAGCACAAGAGAGAATCTGGCTCCTCACCAACAGGTCACAGTCTTGTAACAGAGGATGGAGGCCATGCCCCCAACAGCCACCTCTGCTTGGCACCAGGAGGGCCCTGGAGGCCGCCCAGCGGCAGAGCCGCAGAGGGCCTCGGCTGCGGAGACTCAGGGCAGCGCCTGCCCGGGACCTCGGAATCACTGCCCGCGCCCCCACAGACGGCTGCGAGCCCCCCATTCACGCCCGATGAACCTGGCTTGGGGGTTTCAAAGGAATGGGCAGCCAACAAAGTGAATGCCGCAGCAGGAAGCGGAAACGCTGCGGCTGCTCCAGCCGGTCCTCGGGGGAGTAGCACGAAGTCTGCGGCTCCACCCTCACATGGCCCCGCACCGCAGGGAGGTGGCGTAGAGGGGCCTCCGCGCCACGGTTTGGACGGGCCCCCAGCGCCTTCTGAGGGGCAGCGGGCCGGGGATGAGGAGCATGTCGTGTCTGAAAAACGCCTTCCTCTGGCTGCTGGGGTTTCCCCTCCGTTCCCCTCAGTGCCACCGACAGGAGCAGAAGGGGGGCCCCGGACGTGTCCCAGCCTCCAGGCACACCTGCCGCCTGCATCCCGCATACAAGCTGGTGTCCGGCTGGACAGAGAGGTCAGAGAGGGGCCAGGGTCACAGGCAGGCCTGGGGGGTGGAGAGGAGGGAGTCTCAGGGCCTGTGGGGCCTAAGGGTCCTGGTCAGAAGGACGTTGTTCCTTTGGACCCAGGGAAAATCAAGGTTGGAGAGAGGCCAGGGCCACAGGCAGGCCTGGGGGGTGGGGAGGAGAGGGTGCCAGGGCCTGTGGGGCTGAAGGGTCCTGGTCAGAAGGGAGTCCCTCCTCCAAACCAGAAGACCCCCGTGCGTGGCTCTGAAGAGGTGCAGACACAGCCCCAGGATGACGAGGTGGGCAGTGACAGGGCGACCCCTGATGTGGAGACCCCTTGCCCACACGCTGAGAAAGGTCCAGATCGCCCCCCAGGGCAGTGGGTGCAGGCCGTCGAGGACCCCTCAGGGCAACACGGCGTCCACACTGAGGAGCGGCAGGGGCGCCTGGCACAGGCCCAGGCCGGCAGGATGGCACCCCACCACTCGGTGCAGCCCACAGGCAACTCATTGGCTGTGGCACCTGCACCTACCACAGGTGCACGTGGGCAGTCCCCGAGGCCAGCCCCCACGGGTGGCCAGGGGCCACCTGGAGTGCCACAGGAGGCGGAAGAACACCGTCTGCAGGCGGCCAAGAGCCAGACGCCCGCCCGACCCGAGCCAGCGCAAGGCTCTGCTACAGTGCCCACGCCCAAGGCTGGGGGCGGCCAGGCGCCCGACGCCCCAGTCCAGGAGGGGCCCCCAGACATCTCCTGGGCAGGAAGGAGCGCACTGGACCGCGAGCATCAGAGAAGGTTTGCAAAGTACAAAGCCCAAAGCTTCGGCGACCAGAGGTCCTTTGACTTGTCCTTTAGAGCCAAGGTTATCAAGGCCAATGACACGTTCGAACTTCCAAAGTGAAGTGCGCCCTCTACCCCCACGCCCATAGGGACCACGGGCACGTCTGGGGCCTCCGTTTCCGCTCCTCCCTCAGGTTGCAGGCTGTTTCCTGGCCTCCCAAGGAGCTTTGAACGGCCCCCCTGGATAGTGGTTTCCTTTCACTCTCACATTAACCGACCCCACAGCTACAGACGTGTTGCCTGCACGTGTTGCTGTCCTGCTCCGTGTTCTCAGTGAACGTGAGCTTCTGGGAGCTGTGCACAGCGAGGACGAGGCAAGTGCTGGGCACACCAGGCCTCTGTGCCCTGTGGGTCTGTTTCCTTGTGTCACTTGAGGCATCTCTACTTGGAGTTCGTCCAAGCACACACGTCTACCTTTCCACAGAGCCGTGCTGCTTTTGGCACTTTAAGGTTTGGTGCTGGACTTGGCGTGTGTCTGTCCTGGCTGCTCTGAGGGGGCTCCGCCAGCTTCGGCCTTTGAGGGCACCATCTCCTTGCAGGTCATCAGCAGGCGTGGATGTGGAGGGCCTCAGACTGTGGCCCCTGCCTCACTCAGACACAGCCAGTGCGTGTGACGTGGGCAGGAGAGTCGCACACAGAGCGCCTTGACCGAGGGGCCGTGACTCCAACGCAGACACCTGTCCTGACACATTCTGGGATGAGGGCTAAGAGCTTCGGTTTGTCTCAGCTTCTCCCCGAGGGAAGCTGATCTATCTTTACCTTCTTGACGACGGTCGGGAAGATGGAGTGACGACACTGGGATCCGGGCTCTGGCACATCCTGTTCCTGTCCCTGGGCTCTGCTGGGCCAGAGCAGAACCGATCCTGGGAAATACTCGAATCAAATTACAGAGGAAGGTGAAGATGCAGAGTGGTCGGAAGGTCGTTTTCAGCACCGAGCTTCCAGGTGCACGAGTCCAAGGAAGCTTTTGTTTAGAAACCTCTGTGATGAAGAAAGTACAATGTCCCATCGTCTCCATCTTTCACAGTCATCACAGCAGCCTCCTCGGGTCCCAGATTGGAGAGGTGCAGGCGGGTCTGAGGGACACACACACACACACACACACACACACGGTGCATAAATTTTGTGCATCGTTCCTCAAAACAATATAAGGACGGAAATAAAAATCACCCATAACCACGTTACCTTAAGAGGATTTCTGGAACTACCTTGAACTGGTTTTTCTCCCGACTTTTCCCTCGGCTATTTTTTCCAGAACACAGATGCAGGGAGCCACATCGTGTGTCCAGTTTTAAGACTGAATGTTACGGGGAACGCACTCTCAGGGGCCGCAGAGTGTCTCTGAAACCTGACGCATGTGCGTCTCAGGTTCTGTGACATATGTGGGCCCCGGGTTTTCGGCAGAAGCTGACGCTGTGAGTCCTCCCTGCCCAGAACACTGTTGTCGACATTATTCTCTTGCAGAAGATGGATTTCTGTGTTTTGAAGACTTCTTGATGTTTGCTGCCTTTGCCGCTGAGCGATTTTCTAGACTTTTCTTCCCGGAGAAGCTTCCTTGATGTGTGCTACAACCTCCTTTTGTTTTCTGACTTGAATGTTCATTTACAGGAGGGTTTTCTATTTTATTTTGTTGTTGTTGTCGTCGTCAATCCTCACCTGAGGATATTTTTTCCATTGATGTTTAAAGAGATTAGAAATGAAGGAAGGATAAAGGGAAGGAGGGAGGAGAGAAAGAGAGAGAGAGAGAGAGAGAGAGAGAGAAGACATCGATTGGTTGCCTTTCCCATGCACCCAGACTGGGACTGGGGATTGAACCTGCAACCCAGTATGTGCCCTTGACCGGAAAATGAACCTGAGACCCTTCGGTGGGCAGACTGATGCTCTAACCACTGAGCACACTGGCCAGGGCAAGAAGGGATTTTTTTAATTTAAGCTTTGGTTGGGTGCTTGGGAAGAGCTGGGTTTGTCAGTTTTCACCCTATCCATGGTGAGGTCCAGGTCGCTGTGACGTCTCTTCTCAGGACAGGTCAGCCAGATGTGACGGATGTGCATGGTGGCCAAAGCAGCACTGAGCTCAGTGAGGCTAAGCAGGAAGTGTGAGGTCCGTGCACACAGCTCATTTCCTGGCAGCCTCCTCTCTCCAATCAGGCAATTAATTTAAAATCAGGCTGATTAGAGGCTCCTGGTGAGCTGAGAGCCCCATGGGAGCTGATGGCAGACTAGGGTGCTGGTCCCCCTCTGCCACCCCTCAGAGGGCTGCTTGGGTTGCTCCTATGTACAGCAGGGCCAGTGCCCTGAGATTAACCAGGAGGGGGCAGTGCCCCGGGTTTAACCAGAAGGGGGTGTGCCTGGTTTGCTAGCCGTTAGCAGCAGGAGGCGGTGTGTGAGACCGTTACCTACATGGGTGTCTAGTGTCTGGGCATCTGGATGAGGATCCCAACCTCTGTGTTGGGGAACCTTGGGGAGACACCTCACTGCCTTTTACTTCCATTTGGCATGGAGGGCTGGCCATGCACCTCTGTCTCTGGTGCCATTCCACCTCCACTGGGCCGTTGGGTGCCCATTGTCTCAAAGAGCACAGGCTGCCGAGACCCAAGGTGTCCCACCCGGGGAAGGCTGCATCTAGACTTGGGTTCAGCTTCTCGGAGCTGCAAATCCAGGAGGCTCATGAGACAAATAAATGCTCAGGGTGACTACTTCCTGCTAACGCACCTGGTGGGGCACCATTTATCTATTTTCTTCCTTTACTTGTCCTTTGTTCCACAAAGGATTTAAAGCAGTGTTTGGCAAAGAACTTGATGACTGACAGAGGAGATAAAAATATTTTATTTACTGGGTGTTCCCTTTTTAAAATAAGAAGCAGTGGAGTTTTGACGCTATTTTTAAATAGGCCAGAAAGCCCATTGGAGAATGGACTGAGCGGTATCGTTTTAAGTGGTGGGGGAAAAAACGATCAGAATCTCCTCCTGGGCTGCGGCTCCTCAGAAGTCGTACACCGAGTTCCTCTGGACAACTGGCAGGCCCTGGGCGAGGCTCTGACCCGGCCAGCGGGAGGGGCCTGGCTCTGCTTTCACCAAATACGGTTGCAGGTTAGGCTGCCCTCGGTGCCACTGCTGGAGGCACTCCGTGGGAAAGAACCAAGAGTGGCTTTTTCATCAGGACTTCCTGGTGGTCAGTGTGCATTCACAATGCACGTGAAGTACGAGTTTACAGTGCACACGTGACGGCCGTTTCGGCCAAAGAAAGACCCGGGAGGCCTCCTGGGTTGAAGTGATTATTATTTTTTTTATATATTTTATTGATTTTTTTACAGAGAGGAGGAGAGAGGGATAAAGAGCTAGACACATCGATGAGAAAGAATCATCGACCAGCTGCCTCTTGCACCACCGCTACTGGGGATGTGCCCGAAAACAATGTACATGCTCTTTACCGGAATCGAACCCGGGACCTTTCATTCTGCAGGCCGATGCTCTATCCACTGAGCCAAATCGGTCTCGGCTGAAGTGATTATTGCAGAAGGGTGGTGGGCATCTTAAATGAAACCCACAGGACACCTCTGTGAACTTTTCAGCTCGCCCACTTGATTTTGCACATCTGAGCAGCCTGTCAACTGACACCTCACTTCAGATTTTTACAGCTTCTTCTGCTGTTTACAGACTCCGGAGTGAGGCACACCTGTGGTGCGTGCCTGCAGGGGAGGGGTGGCTCCCGGAGGAGACTCCTATGATGAATCAGAGTAGTTTAGACGCTCCATCCGGAATGTCACTGTTTAGAATTTTACGAATTCAGCACCACTTCCTTATTTTATTTTATTTTTTTTTAAAACAAGGGCATCTTTGCCGTTTGAGTTACAATCGTTTCACTACTGAATTATGGATTAACCCGCAGCTCAACGTTCTTTGTTTTATTCTCTTTTTATACAAACTCTAAAATGGATTCATTAGAAGAAGAAAAAAATTACCAAATATATTTTGTTGTATTCTCTTTTGAATTTGTACTAACTTTATCCAGCTGGAAATAATATCAATAAAAGAAAATGACGTAGATCACCCGTTCCAGAGCTCTTTCTTGCCTCGTTGAGGAACTGCCTGAAGGAGGAGGGATTTCATGTCAGAAAGCAGCTGGGGGGCCAGGGGCAAGCACTGGAGCGCTGACCACAGTGTGGGGAGATTCGGTCAGCAAAGGAGAGGAGTGGCTCCTCCACCTTCCAATCTGGGAGGAGAATCCCTGTGGGCAAGTTCAGTAAAAACAAGCAGGACTCCCAGGACACACCACCTGCGTCCAGGAGAGGATAAACAAGCCTGCCCCCCAGGCCAGGCCAAGGGGAGGCGGAGCTCAGGTGCCAGCCAAGCCGCCCCGTCCCGGGGAGATGGCCGGGACAGACTGCACAGAGAGGAGCATGGGAGGCCAGGGGTCAGGGGACAGTAATTTGAGCTTCACTTCTCTCCAGGACCTTCAGAAAAACTGCTGTGCCCTGAGCGGGGCCTGCGAGTTCATCGTGGGAGAGGAAGAACTCCTTCGTCCACGGTGGGGAGCACGAAGGCTGTCCAACCTGGTCAGGGGATTCCCATAACCCCCTCCTCGGGGTGAGCCTGTGCCCCTGCCCTCCCCAGGGCAACTTGGCTTAAGGGGTTACTGAGTACTGCTCTGGAAGAGGGTTTGGGAAGACCAAGGTCCTGAAATGTTCCTTAGCATCAGGAGCTACCTGAGATGAGATCACCCAGTCCCCTCTCCTCCTGCTGCGGACGGATTTCGGATAAGGACCAGCAACGGGCCCACAGCTAATTCATCTCTCTGAGGACAGAGAACTGATTTGGCTGGGGTCCGAAGCCCCTGGCTGGTGGGCAGGATTCAGTCCAAGGTCAGGAAGGTACTGGACACTCAATTTGTGAATCTTCTTCAACCTGTGGAAGTTCTGGGAATCTTCCCTAAAAGAACAAAGGGACCTACAAGGAAAACTGCTTTGATACTCAAGCCATTTCTGTTGGTTTTTCCACTCAAATAATTCTCCCATTCTCTGAGACACCAGCTGGGTGTCCTACTATTCAATGCAATTCTGAC